GACCGCCCCATTCATGGCCGCGGAGGCCAACACGTGGTCATCGACTTCATTCCAGGCCACGTCGTTGCAGCTGAAGTTCAGGTTCAGGTTCTTGCCGACCCTCAGGTTGAACGCCTCCCCGAAGTGGTCGTTGTTTATCTCGAAGATCTTGAAGACGGTTCTGCCGCCCACTGCCACCAGATTGGCCTCTCGGTTGACCGCCAGTGCGTTGGCCGGACCCTCCAGTTGGCTACAGAAGCCCTTGGATGTGGCCATCGCTGGTCACTCCCTATATACCGGTGCTCTGAGAGTGCGGTCACCAAAACATGCGCTCAGAAAATCACATTTTTCTTGAAGTCATTAGTGAATGACAATTAAAATGGCTTCAAATCACATGACATGTGTTTCGCTCACAAAACAAATGGCAATTAATTAATCACTGATTGTGTCATTGAATGAGCAAAATATGAATGAATTTGTGGTTATTTTCAAACAAAAACTAATTGTCAGTCATTTGAAAGTTTTGCCCCAAATATTCAGTCATATCTCTGTATACATAACACATTTGCCGATCGCTTGCTTTCAATGCGTGAAATTTGAATGAAATTTTTGATTTTTCCGATGTTTTCAAATGAAATAAAGTTTTGTATGAATTGCCAAATGTGTGCGAAAATAGCGATAATAATGGACTGAATCGGTGACTGAAGTGATTGTAGCGTTGAGTGCATTGTATGAGTGATGGCGTGAATGAGTGAATGCATTGAAAGCATTGAGCGTTTGTTTCACTGTTTCAGTGGTTTCTCAACCAAAAAGTCAATACAAACGACAAACCAATGAATCCATGGTTTAGTCAATGATTGTATTTCGCGAAAGTATTTCTCATTGAATGGTCGCATAAATACATTGAATTGAGACATGAATTATCCGAAACCACCCGAAGGTATGTATCGTATGCTGTGGTTATGCATAGTATATATGGTGTGAGTGATCGGTGGTGTGCTAACCGTTGCAGACGACGAGCTGAAGACTATAATCGACAAATTGGCTCAATTCGTGGCACGTAATGGACCGGAGTTTGAGCAGATGACCAAGAACAAGCAGAGGGATAATCCCAGATTCTACTTCCTCTTTGGCGGCCAATACTTCCAGTACTATCAGTACAGAGTGTCTGCTGAACAGCATCAGCACCATCAGCAACAACAGCAACAGCTCATCGGTGGTCAACNCAACCTGAGGGTCGGCAAGAACCTGAACCTGAACTTCAGCTGCAACGACGTGGCCTGGAATGAAGTCGATGACCACGTGTTGGCCTCCGCGGCCATGAATGGGGCGGTCGTCACCTGGAATCTCCAGAAGCAGTCCAGAGCTAAGTTGGATGTGGTGTTCAACGACCACAGGAGGACCGTTAATAAGGTGTGTTTCCACCCGTCGGAGGCGCACCTACTGCTCAGCGGTTCCCAAGACGGGTGTATGAAGTTGTTTGACCTCCGGTGCAAAGAGGCCACGAGTACTTTCATCAGCAACTCCGAGAGCGTTAGGGACGTCCAGTTCGCACCCTCTCAGGGCTCGTACTTTCAGTTCGCGTCCGTTCAGGAGACGGGAAATGTGGAGATTTGGGACATCCGTCGAAGTGATCGCTCGGACACTAACTTCATAGCACACGGAGGGCCGGTGTTTGCGTGCGATTGGCACCCGAACCCTGAGAAGCACAAGTGGTTGGCCACCGCCGGTCGCGACAAAACCATTAAAGTGTGGGATCTCTCGGATCCCAATAAACCTCAGACTCTATACACCGTTCAGACGATTGCTTCGGTTTCGCGCATTAAGTGGCGTCCGAAGAGAGACTACCAGATCGCCAGCTGTTCTCTTGTGGTGGACTTTGGGATCAATGTGTGGGATATAAAGCGTCCGTACGTTCCGTCGGCTATATTCCAGGAGCACAAGGACGTGACGACAGGGTTCGCCTGGAAGAACGACCCGCACGTCCTCCTGTCCACCAGCAAAGACGGAACCCTTTGTGAGAACTTGTTTGAGACGGCATACTGTCCGGCCCATCACTACAACCCAATGGGACTCTCGATAAACCCTTTCGGAGACGTGGCGTTCGCTGCGAGTGATGTTATCCTCAGAAATACTCAGAACTATTCGGGCAAAGAGTTAGTTAAAGCCCACTCATTGGGTCCAAACAGTATCATAAACAGTGGTGGTATAATCAATCTCATCACTACTGTCCCTTCACTTACCAACTATTCAAGCGGTCGCTTGTTTTCAGTGTTTAGAAAACCTGCCGATCTGTCCGAGCAGTTCAGAAATGCCGTCAGTTCTCTCATGCTATACAAGTGTCCAAACATTGACTTGAGTGACAACCTGTCCATGGATTGGTTCGTGAGTTCCGCCAAAAGGTATCAATTGAACGGCAAGTCTATCGAAGAGTTGTGTGAATACAACGCCGAAGTGTCGGCACAACTCAACAGGACTCAAGTCTCGCAGACCTGGAAAATACTGTTACAGATGTTCAACACGAACGTGAGGTTACCCACACTCAGTGGAAGTGCTAACACCAACTCGATTACTGTGGGAACCATTACTGACTTGATTCACGAGAAGAGTGATCCAAACAATCCGAGCCGACACACCAGCGGTAGTACTGGTAGACACTTAAGTGGCGGTAAAACCAAAGACCAATTGAATGCGAACGACACGTCTGGCAATGAGGAGGAGTCGGACTTAAGTGATATAATAGAGAGCAATAGTCTTCCGAAACCCAAACGCGTCTCTCAGCCGACGCCTAAAAAGCAATTTCCCGGAGAATTCTTTTTCAGCGAAAACGACTCGTTATCCCAATCGGGCTTTGAATTGAGTCAATCCAACACATTGACTGATGCCATGTCTGGCCAACAGGACTGGGATCTACCGAGAGAGGCATTCTTTCCGCGACACCCAATACAGGACTGTTCTCTGCCTCCAGAGATAACCGACGCCAACAACGATCCGAGTTCTCCGACCAGCTTTGAAGAGGAGGACGAAGTACTCAATCCAATGAACTTCATGTCCATTAGTGATAGTGATTCTCATTCGCACTCTTTGTTGTCATCGAAAGCGCCGCCAAACCCTGTCTGGCCCTACACTGGTTTGGTGGCAGAAATGCTGCACTTCTACGCCTCTCAGGGAGACGTCCAGACGTCGGTCTCAGTACTGCTCGTATTGGGAGACAAAATGAAAACAGCGATCGATGTGTCGGTCCAACAACAGTGGTATCAGTCATACATAGATCTCTTGAGCCGTTTTGAACTGTGGAGTGTCGCCAATAAAGTGATCCGTTTATGTCCGCATCCGTACATAAATACATTGAACCAGTCGTCGACCACTTTGTACACGACGTGTGGTTTGTGCCGAAAGGCCCTCAACTCGAAGGTCAGTTGGCTGTGCGAGCGCTGTAAGACTGAGCCGTCCAACTGCTCCATATGTCATGTGGCGGTCACCGGACTCTACGTCTGGTGTCAGGGCTGCGCACACGGAGGACATCTGCAACACATTCAGGAGTGGTTGGCAAACAACACCCTCTGTCCGGCCGGTTGTGGCCATCACTGCGAATATACTTAAGCTTAATATTTACAGTAAATTCTATATTAATATAACTTTATTTTGAAATTCCTATTGTTTTGAATAGTCATATATTTTTTGTTATCAGTTTTGTGAATAAATTAAGTCAAAAACAAATTGTTTTTTTAATGAATTGATATTTTTAAAAATAAACTAAACTATTCTGAATTATTCATACGTTTACTTGTTTTGCATATTAGTATTCATTCCGACTTTGATATAAAATAAATTTAAAGTATTTGCCGATAATCATAGATTTAAATGTCATTTTATTTTGTACATAAATTTCATAAATAAACAAATGTTTTGCTAAATTAAAAGAGACTTAACCTTAAACTTGAAATCAGGAATACTGTATTCATAATTTATTTATACGAATATTTTTGACAGAAAATAAACATTTTTTTAAACACAGACTTGCGCTCAAAAATTATTATTAGATAAAAGTCAGTTTGAGTGCTAATTGTTTTAATTGCTTATAAACAAGATTTAACGCAATCTGTGTTCCACTTAATCGCCTCAAAAACAACAACAAAAAGAGTTAAAGATTTCTTTTGTTTCTAAAGTAATTGAGAGCAAAAAGTTTACGTAACTTTTACTTCAAAATCAAAATTTTAAAGTTAAAAGCCATACCTTATAATTATAAACTCATTTTACAAGAGTTATAGCATTAATTACTGCTTATATCGATATTATTTGTTCAGATATAACAGCGATTAACAGTCCAATCATGCAATGAATTCAACGTTGGGGTCAATAAAATATTTAACACTAATTGTTATCTCAAAAACATAAGCTCTAATTTTAAAGCCATTCATTTATGCTAAAGTTTTTATTATAATATTAATTATAATTTATTTTACATTGGTTTCTATTGTAGCTTTTATTCATTACTTTTGCAATTTAATGATTAATGACTTGTAATTAATCTTTAGATTGAATTTTAAAATCCGTTCACTTTTTTACAAGCCTTACAAATCCCATAAAAATGATATTTTCTTAACACTTGGAGATCAAAATTTATGAATAAATATAATAAAAAGTTTATTAAACTTTTAGTTAAATATTTTTATAAGCAAAAATAAATTTAAACATTAAAATATTAATATAATTATGATAAAATTTTATTTAAATTTAATTTAAATAAAGTATATTGTTTATGTGTACTCAATATGCTACTTTAAAATGTGAACATTGTATACAGTATTATTAAATTCTATTTCATTTATTATTTAAACTTATTTAGAGCTCACAATTAAATAATTTGTCACCAATAATGCACAATTAGTAATAAAACGTTTCTTAAATTAGACATTTTGGGGATTTTTGAATAAGTTATATAATTATTATATCACCAATAAACTTTTAAAACTTTTAAAAACTCAAATTATAGTCTTTTTTGTTTATCTATTGAGTGCCTTGAAATCAATATTACTATTTTAGGCATTGTTTCAAATATTTGACAATTGCTTGAAATGTTTGCTAAGTTTGAGGAAAATTTGAATAAACGATAACTTTTGTGGGCAAACATACCGTGTCTATTGTATAGTTGATATATTGTCTAAAGGTATGGCTATAAAACAATTAAACATAATTTGATATAATTGTGAAGACATATGAATTGCATGGCAGTGATTGCGGCACTCGTTGTTCAAAGCAATTAGTGAATCGAGAATTTGATGAAATACTTAGTCTTATGGAGTATTGAGTGAATAGAGTATATGATTGTGGACTCCCCCTAAACGGTGCATACAGTGCGCGCTGTAGTAATGGTGTAATACCTGTCATACCCTCAGGTGTATTGCCTGTGCAATCGCTGCCGGCTCTAAGCATTTTGATTTGTTGAGTTGAATAAGACTTATATAATGTTTGGTACAGTGTATGAGTGCAACGCTTGGCCACCGGTTCACTTGAGTTGAGGTCTGACAGCCTATCCTACCCTACAGTACAGGCATTTGCACTGACATTCACGTAAGACTTACTTAACTCGAAGTGAGTGTAAAGATTGCATTGAGAGCAGTGACTAGTCTTGCAATAGTTGGGTCGTTAAGAGCCTTACCTGTTGTTCCCCTTACCTGTTGTTCCACTCATCCAGGTATCCAACAGAAAGTGGGAAAATGGCCGAAACCTGCAGGTCTGGGCTGTAGAGACGGGGCTAACCATCAGTTGTCTGATGCCTCTTATATCACACACACTCTCACCACTGCTAACCCTATCAACGCTTAAATCATATGATTTTTTCAATCAATTTCTTCTATGAATCGCGAACTTCTACTAAGTTTTGCATTTCAATCGCAAACTCAGCGCAAACTTATGTGAGTCTCATCTGTTCAACACTTGTTAGCC